ATAAGGGGAATAATCACAATCCACTCCTCACCGGCACGTGTAGTTTTGGGAGTGGGTTGTTACAACCACCCTTCCTCGGGTTGCTAATGATACTCCCAAAATATTCTTGTTTTTGCACACAAAGGTAACATAAGTATAAATGTATTCACCTCATCATATTTCATATTGTATAAATTTTCGTTAGTATTTTAAACCACTCGCAACAACAATATTTCCTTGGCTCTTTTGGCCATTCACAAGATTCTTTATTTCTGGCACGATGACCGTATTTTATATTCCACACTTTTATTTCTTTCCATTCATGGATCTTCATCGTAAATATCAACATATAGAATATTTCATAAATCATAATTTTAAGTTCATTAGAAATAAAGACTTTAAACGCAATAGATTTCTTTCCAAGAAATGGAGTGAAATGATTGGCAACCGAAGCGCACGTTAAAATCATAAACAACCAGAGCACCATTTATTCTTGAAATACTTTTCCCGAAAAAAGGCAATACACATTTTCAACTCATGAATATGTAAGAACTCAAAACACCTGGGAAATATTTACAAAGCCTAACATTAGTTAAAACAGCCACATTTGAGCATGACTTGAGTACATAAACTATTAGGCAAATCTATTTTCGAAGTCATTTCAAAACAGTTGAATCAAGGCTCATTTCATAACCTTTCTCACATAATTTGGTATCATAACTTTCATTTGAAACACGACTCAAAGTAATAACATTTTAATAAACATATTATTCTTGAACACTTTTCCGAAGGATAACATAATGTAATGGGAGTATTCGGAACATGTTTTAAGCGCATAACTTTCGACACATTGCTTACTCGAGACAATAAAATTTATTGGGAACAACGCAGAACACGGGAATAAGGAACTTGAGTCAACCATATTTTAAACATACGGGAACATCATGAAATTCAATTCTAAGAGAGAAGTTTTAGCCAACAAAGCTCAAATTCTCCCCTTAATGATACTACAATGGTCCACTATACTAAAAAAACTTTAATCTACTATAATAATATTCAATGGGACCAATATTAGTAACAAATTCCATAATTTAGGCTATTTAGGCATTTTATCAAGCGTCTAGTTGGCATAAATCTCTACATTTCTTCATAGAATTAGTTCATCCCTCTGTTTTAAAAGCCAGAATTGGGACTCGCTCCGGGGCGGAGCACTCGTAAAACGCCCCAGGGCTTATGTGTGGGGCTTAGTTCCATGAGACTTACGCCTCGGCCACCGGAGCTTACGCCCCGGACACGCCCAACGCCCAGGGTACTGGGCTCGCCTAATAGAACTTTATGCAATTGTATGTAACTAACCTTGTAAACCCTCAAATTTTCTTAACAAATCGTTGACTATTCAAAATTACTTTTTTCTAATCATAAATCATTAAGTTGAGAGTATTTTATATCATAATTAAAATAAAAATTATTGAATATTATCCACTAAGACTGTTATGATAGTAAATTTTAAATAAATCTTTCATTTCAAAAGCATTTATTTATTAACTTTTGTTATGTCTTTACTATATAATAGTCCATAGTTTTTTTATAATTATTTTTCTAAATATTATTTTTTTCACGTTTACGAAATACAATACTTATTAATTTAATAACTCAGTATTAGCTAGTAACTATTTACAAATAATTAGTTATCACGATATTGTATGGTGAATTATGTGTTAGTTTATTAACTTGTTGAAACTTAAAAATAAATGATGCTAGAGAATCATATTTAAATTGTGAATTATCTTTTTATAT